GTAAGTAAGTAAGTAGTAAGTAGTAGTAGAGAGAGAGAGAGAGAGAGAGAGAGAGGAATGGGCATTTTTCTCTGCTCCCTACTAGGGAGAGAGTAGTTTAAATTGTTTCAAGAAAGCAGTTTAGATTGTTTCAAGGAACCAGAGAGAGAGAGAGCGCATTGTGCTACTCTTTCAAATGTGAAGCTAGCTTTGTCTCAAAGAGCATGATACCATCCTGCAAGATAACAGTCACTACGTCCTTGACAGGGATGCAATTCCAACCGTTGGATCAGGAATGCAACGGCTATGCGCCACCCATTTCTGCCCTACCCTGCATCATATTCTGAAGCCCCATGAAGCAAGAACACCTTCCTACTATGCTTCCTTACTCCAACTTTGCTTACAGTCCGAGTCCATGGAGAAAGGCAAACAGATACATGCCTCTATCTTAACCTCTGGTTTCATGGAGAATCTCTTCTTAGCCAATTCTCTCACTAACTTTTATGCCAAATTTGGAGATATGGAAAATGCCCATAAAGTATTTGACACAGTTAGAGTGAGAAATGTGGTTTCATGGACTTCAATGATCTCTGGTTATTCTCGATTGGGTCTCTATGAATCAGGTTTGGAAGTTTTCAGAGAGATGGTGAAAGCTGGAGAGAGACCAAACCAATTCACATTTTCTCTCACTATGCAGGCTTGCACCACTGTTCTCTCACTAGATATTGGGGTGCAAATCCATGGCCTAATTATCAAATGCGGCCTCGATCAGGAAGATTTTACAGGGAGCTCTCTGCTTGATATGTACTCTAAATTGGGTCTTTTGAATAGTGCATTTTTAGTGTTTAAGAACTTGTTTCATAGAGATAGTGTTTCTTGGAACTCCATGATTGCTGGTTGTGCAAAAAATGGAGATTATATGGAAGCTTTTAGGCTCTTTTACGAAATGCAAATTGAAGGTATAAAACCCAATGATTTTACCTTTTCCGGTTTGCTGAAGTCATGTAAGAGTGAGAAAGAAGTTGAGCAAATCCATAGCTCGATATTAAAGTGTGGAGTAGAGAGAGATAATGTTTTAGGCAGTGTTCTTGTAGATGTTTATGCGAAGTGTGGAAGCCTGGGCTCTGGTCGAAAAATTCTCGACTCCATGGCTAGAAAAGACAGGTTTGCTTGGAGCTCTGCAATTTCAGGATATGCAAAATCTGGTGAGGGAGAAGAAGCTCTGGTTTTTTTTAGAGAGATGTGTAGGGAAGCCATGAAACCTGATCAGCATGCTTTGTCCAGTGCCCTCAAGGCTTGTGCAGAGACAAGTGGGTTATTGGAACAAGGGAAACAGCTTCATGCCCAAGTGGTGAAAATGGGGTATCAGACAGAGAATTTCGTGGCAAGTGTTCTTCTCTCTCTTTATGCAAATTCCAGCCTTTTGAGTGATTCTGAGAAGGTTTTCAGGGGAATTAAAGAGAGAGACAGGGTGTCATGGAATTCTATGATGGTGGTTTTTGCAGAGAGAAAAGAAACAGCTTTGGGAACCATAAATCTCTACTGCAAATTCCAGCAAATGGGCTTTTCTCCTGATGTTTTCACCTTCATTGCTGTTCTAAAAGCCTGCTCGAATATGTCAGATTCCAGCATGGGCTTTCAAATACACACTCACATAATAAAATCCAATTGGGGCTCTGACATATCAATTGGAAATGCTGTTATCGAGATGTACGCAAATTGTACCTCCATTGATGAAGCTCGAAGAGCTTTCGATAACATGAGTTGCAGAGATGAGATTTCATGGAGCTCAATCATAGCAAGCTATGCTCAGGAAGACGATGGATTTGAAGCACTTCTCCTATGCAAGCAAATGCAAATTGAAGGATTTAGGCTAACTGAATTTAGCTTGGCCCCTTGTTTAATGGCCTGTGCAATCTTAGCAGCAATGGAACTAGGCCGACAACTCCATGCGACCATTACCAAGTCTGGTTTTTCTTCACAGGTCTATGTTGGGAGCTCAATTTTGGACATGTATGCAAAATGTGGAAGCATTGAGGACTCGATAGTGGCATTCCATGAGGTTCAGGCTCCCAATATAGTGACTTTCAATGCTCTAATTTCAGGTTATGCGCAAAATGGAAGAGCTCAAGAAGCCATTAATATCTTCAATGAGTTACCCAAATTAGGTATTGCCCCAAACAGTGTTACCTTCATTGGGGTCCTAAATGCCTGTAGCCATGTAGGTTTAGTGAGAGCGAGCTTGAATTACTTCAATTCCATGTCATTAGACTATGGAATCTCACCTGAATTTCAGCACTATTCTTGCTTAGTTGATGTTCTTGGAAGGGCTGGAGAGCTAGAAAAAGCTCATGAAATTGTCACCAAAATACCTTTTCCAGAGGCGATTCCGGCGTATCGAACATTGTTGGCAGCTTGCCGGAATTTTGGGGAGTTAGAGATTGGCCAAAAAATTGCAAAGAAGGTGCTTGAATGGGACCCACACGACCATTCAGCTTATGTGCTCTTGTGTAATATATACTCTGCAACGGGGAGGTGGGAGGAAGCTTTTAGAATGAGGAGAGAGATGGGTGCTATGGGTGTGAAAAAAGAGCCCGGTGGTAGTTGGGTAATTATCCGAGGAAGGGTCCATGGGTTCTTTGTGGGGGATTTTACACATCCTGAAATGGAGGAGATTTTGGGAGAATTGAATTGGTTGCACCTTCAAATGAAGGCAGCTGACAACTTATTTGGTTTAGACCAGATATAAGGCATTGTAAAAAAGGGAAAAATATTTGGTGAGTCGCAGTCAACTCCAAATAGTTGGGATACAGCTCAAATGATGATGATGATCCGATGAATTGCCCACTCATGCGTCCTGTTCACTCTAGCTCTCAAGGGATTTAGGATCCGAGATACATTTCAAAGATTCAAAATGTATCTAGTAAAGATACAATTTTGATGATCTTTGAAGAACTAAAGTAAACTTTTCAAAACGATACAAAAATGCAATTAAGATTCAATTCATGATTATGGTAGTCTAGATGATAGACGAGTAAAAATTTGACATCCAAAGTCCACCTCTAAGAAATGAAAGTTACAATAACTTTTTTGGTAGTTGAAAAAAAAGGGCATTTATTAATGATATATGACTTATTTTCAGTGGAGTTAAGCCCAACTTTTGCTTCAAGGGTGAGTATATCATACACCATTAGTGTATGGTTTTAAAACATACACCATTTGTCATGGACTCCGGAGATTAGCCATCCATGAATGAATGTTTGTCAATGTAACTGAACCTTCACCGCTCGTCAAGGTGAGTAAATAGTAGATGCTCTCATGGTGTAGCATGCAAAGTAGTCGATGGTCTACTTCCCATTGCCAAAATGCACCTCAAATGTGCCCGAACATGACAGGTTTTCTCTTTCATATGGTTGCCATTAGGATGGCAGCAGGCCTAGCCCGGCCCTAGTATCTATATGGTTGGCCCGAGTCTGGCTTGGCACAGACTGGGATGGGCTGAAGAGGCCCTTGGTCCTGTTTGGAGCGGGCTGGACTGGACCGGACCACGTTAAAAAGAAAAGCAAAAAAAGGAAAAAATAAGGCAAAAAAGTGTTGGGCATATGGAACCGGACATACCCTATCGCTGCCTAAGCACAAGCCTAGCTTAGCCTTGTACTCAGGCCACGGTGGCCCGATCCTCAAGTCACATTCTGGGGCCTAGGTCCTAGTTTCTTAGGACCAGGTTAACCAATGCGGGCCAAGCTAGGCTGGCTTTAGGACTAGGTTAACCTATGCGGGCCAAGCTAGGCCAAGCCAGCCGGCCCATTGACGGCCCTATACTTGAACTAGGAGGATTTCGTCCAATAGTTTTTGGACTTGATGCTAATTTTATATTTTTGTGTTAAGACTTAAGAGTAAAACTATTTGAAATGGCTTTTTCAAATTGATGGACATTTGGAAATTGACATTTTGATAAAAAAATTGTGCCCATTTCAAGTCAGGGTAAAATCACCGTTTCAAAACGAAGGTAAAAAGTCTCCTTTTCTGACCAAATGATTTCATGCTCCCGTGGGAGCATTTTGTCCATTTACTCCCGAGGTAGAACTCACTCTGGGAGTACTATGGCCCCAAAATTTTAAGATTGTAACCTCTTCAACCCATAGACTAGCCTCAATAATTATTATTTTTTCTAAATCGCACTTTTTATGTGCTTAAAAAAATGATGTCTCAAAATTGAAGAGAGACCATCCAATTCAAAAATCAAAATTTTCTTTATTCAAACTTATTTTCTTTTGGAAGTAATCATCTAATTTTTTTTTCTCAAAATTTCAGATCTGTTTGAGGAAGTAACTATACACTAATGCTCACATACACTCATCTAGCTATTATATACAACGGATATTTTTTTCTTTTTTGGTATTTCACGAGGAAAAGGGTCGTATAAACCCATGGTAGAAATAGAACTTAATACAGTATGTTGTGGCATCCCGCCACTCGAACTACCTAGCCTTAAGCCTATCCCCAGAAATCATTTTCTAAAAGCTGTTTTCTATATGTTAAAACCTCTCTCTCAGCAATCATGTGATTTGTTTTCATTACTCTGAAATATAACAGATCCAGTTTACATTACGATACTAGAAATTTATAAAAAGTGTACCCAGTTGAAAATTACAGCCAGGAACATCAAAATCCATTTAAAACTAAAGAATTATTCGAGGCACCCTCTGTAGCGACTGTATATACATCTCGATTAGATTATGAGTAGCTAAAACGAAGGAAATTCTCCATCTCAAAGCTTATCTCCCTCTATTAAGCACAAAAATATCTAAATGTAAAAACTACTATAATACAAGTCACCAGTATTTCATCATCGGGTATAGTATGTATTAAACATTATACGATCCATTTTAGTTGAATGGTATAGAGTTGACTCGTCTTTTAAAATAATATAAAAAAGTGGTATCTTTTGAGATAATATCATGTCTACACCATTCAAATAAAGGGAAAGGTTTCTATACTTCCCTTATAGCATAAAAGATCCATACTTCCCCTACCATCCAGCCATGATTAGGAGAGCCACTCACCATTTGATCTTAGATCCAACCTCTTAGAGTATTTTATTTTTATTTTTATTTATACAAAATGTATCAATATGAAATTTGGCACATGTCGTTTTCTCATTGGGGCGCACCTGTTAAAAATAAATTTTCGATAAAATATAATGACCAAAATACCCCTTTAAACTTTCAGGGGTATTTTGGCTATATTTTTTATTGGAAATATTTTTTTGATATTTTTCGCTAGTGCAAGTTTAATAGAGGATTGGACGTCCAAAATTTGGAGTCAAAATAGTCTATAGAAAAAAGTTAAAAATAAAATAGTATAGAGATGTGACATTGTGTTTGGGACAATCTTAACCCTCCATTCAGTATGGAGGGTTGGATAAGGGGAAATATATAAGTTTTATACTATAAGGGAAGCATAAAAAACATGCCCTCAAATAAAAATCGATAGTGTTGATTAATGTCTTACTTCTATAAGTAAAGTTTCATCCTTAGATAAAACTATCTAATCGATAGTGTTGATTATGAAAAGGTACTCAAACCACCTAAATTTCTACTAGTGTATTCTTAATTGAAATCATGAAATACAACTATTTCTACTATCCATATTTCATTTGAATAGCTTTGTTATTTCTTTAACATTGAAAGGAGAAATATTATTGCAGAAACTGTCATTTCTAGGGGGATAGTTTTCCCCAAAATCCCCAAATATTTAAGGAGCATGGATCTTAGATGTTCTTTTGCACAGCCCACCTTTTACGGGCATATCTTGGTGATGATAATTATTCAAAAAAAAGATTGTGATCTCTATGTACAAAAGATAAATAATCTCTTTATAGATAATCCCTTTAAAAAAAATGGCACACATAAACATTGTAGATATATTAGGTGTGGTTTATATAAAATATCAATATTAACTAATCAAAGTAAGATATACTTCTCAACTGTGCCAAAAGATGCAATTCCAATGCTTGAAAGCCCTATAGTGACCTCGTAGTCTATTGCTTATGAAATTTATAAATCCAAAAATGACACTAAATGACTTTATCTATAAACACTTAAAAATCTTGAAAATAAATAGTCTACGTATTATATTGCAAGAAGCACTGGTTTTAGGATTAGAAATCAATTTTTCTTTCATAATCATACATCTTGAGATCAAAATAATCAATTAGAAAGTTATCCAACATCAGAATAGCCTTTTCCAGTAAGCATTATAGGTGTCCTAGTATTTATAATATCAGGTTCACATCTTATACAAATCTTCTCCTTTTCTATATTTCAAAGGATAGATAGAAGCTAAATTTTAGATTGAGAAATAAGTCATGGAAACAAGGCACCGGACCATTCAGTTAATTGGAATCCAAATTTCAGCAATAAACCAGAGAATCAAAGATAAATCACAGTAACAGAATGCCAAAGTTTTATTTTCATAATTGTAACAGAAAACCATGCTATTTACTCAAGTGGCCAAGGACTCTATGGCTATTCGTCCTACCATTTCCTGTGTGATGCCTCAATAAAATGCCAATGACTTACAAACTTATCGAACAATTTTTGGCTAGATCAATACTTGCCAACAACAATGATAAATACCGAAGACTACTCGGGTAGAGAAACATGAGAGAAATCAGGAAATAACTACACGTTAGATTCCTATATTGAGGTGAGTTTTAGAGAGTAAGGTTCCTTGTAACCGCATGGCCGCATTTACGAGTGGATTCACAAACAAGCTGCGAATCAGAGGCGTGCCATTGCACCACCACTTGATGCAACCAGATCACTCTGCAAGAAACATGCAAGTACATTAGAGAGAGAGAGAGAGAGAGAGAGAGAGAGAGAGAGCATTACATGAATGATGCGTGCTTTCTAATTTCTCTCGTTTGCATGATGGGTGCTTTCGACTGAGAGAGAGAGAGTGAGAGAGCATGACATGAATGATTGGATGAGCGCTTTCTACTTTCTTTAGTTTCTCATGTGTGTGTGAGAGAGAGAGAGGACTGTACTGATTATTGAAAGTTGGAACAAACCCAATAGCGGGAGTGCTTACCAAAGGAATGCCTTTCTTAGCCCTTTCCTCCAAAAATAAGCATGGTTCATAAAAGGCACCATATGCCTTAGCCCACTTCTTCAGACTGGAATATATGTGCGTAGGCCCAACTGAATCTGCCCAAAACACAATCCCTCCCCTAACACAAGAACAACATCAAAACAAATCAACATGGTAAGCTCCCACTTAAATTTTATAGTTCCAATATACAACTAACAAAATTGAGAATAACAAAAGGAATTCAACAGCCCCAAAAAAATACGCACAAATATGCTAGTAATGGAAACAACCATGCCTGGGCAAAAAATGCAGCCCCTGGTGATGAACAGGATAGCCCACAAGGGTGAGTTGCGTCAAACTCACCCTAGCCACTCAAGTTTGGCAGGCTGGCGAGCCCAGAACACCCACAAACTCGATAATTACAATTGATTCAATATTTGACTAAATCAAGTAATTGATTTATAATTAATTATTTGTATCTTTTCGTGTTCTTATGATTTATAATGATTTTTATGAGAAAATGATCTTTAATCAGTTTTCTATTTTTTAAATTGTTACGTCATTTTTATGTCAACCTTTTTTTTTGTTGCTTTCTTCTCCCCTATTTTTAGGGAATTTTCAGGATTTCTCAGAATTTTTTTTAAGCTTTTCCATCTTTGGACAGCTTGGTGCTGACTCGGGCGACTCAGATTCGCCCATTCACTAAGACCTCTCAGGCCCGAGTTCCGAAGCCGAGCCGCATTTTTTAACACTGATGATAGAAAAACAATAATAATGCAGCCATTGATTATCA